TCCAATAAGTAAAAGCTTAATCAAATAATCGTAGGAAGCACTTTTAGCTGTCGTCATATTATCGCAAAGATAAAAAAAAAAAAAGAAAAAAAGGGGGGACGAGTGGAAATTCAAAATGTGTATGTGTGTGGTTTTTGCCATTTCAAGCTCTATTACGTCGTATAGGCGTATGTTGTAACCTATGCTTTTTTTTTTCGAATATATACTTTCTAAAGAGTATCAATGACTCCTTCTACTAGTGAGGTTAAAATGAAATGAGGTTCTATTGTTTTGATTGAACCATTGTTCAACAAGTATAAAGACTCTAAAGGATCCACGCGTTTTTTTCTCTCTCTTCTTTTCTATCTTTATTGAAAACATGAAAGTACTATCTGAAAAAGAAGCCATTTCTATCTTGGAAGAACATAGTGACTGGAGGTATGCTGTATCAACATCTGGCCATATTGCGCATAAATCCTGCTTTGTTGCAACGACTGTGCCTACTGTTCATAAAGTCGACGCTGACGTCCAATTGGCTTATTTCTTGACGAGAACACAATGGGCCGATCAGTTAATGATTACAGGTGTAGGAAACGACGTGACATCGTTACGATCCCTGTCTCTATGTAATACCTTGGCTTTTTCAAATTTGGGTCGTATAGAGCATCCTCGTAGGGTTCATCAAGTGCAGTCCCAGTCCGAGTATATCGTGTCTGTCAGTAGTATTGCTCGCTTGGACCCTGAATTTGAAGCCTGTTTGGATGAAGCAGAAGTGTTTTGGAGAAAAGGCCATTATGATTTAGCTTGGGGAAGGTTACAGCTTATTTGGTATGCGTATGGTTTCTTGTGGCCTGAAGAAGTTCATATAGGTAAAAATAAAATAAAATAAAGATGTTGAACGCGTCTAACGTCTTTCTTTCTAAAGGCTTTCGATTACATCTATCGCACGATCTCAAGTCATGGAGTGACATAAAAGATGTCATAGCAGGAGTAAATCTTAAATAATGACAAGATATATAAAATCAATAACAGCCTTTTTATAGTTGAGGGTTGAAGCTCAAATGTACAATCAACATCCCAATTGGCAACATAGAACCATATGCCGAGTCAAGCTTAGACCAATGCATGAGCTATTTCCATGCGATACTGAGAAGCAAGTTGGTTTCAAAAACTTTATTTATCAAGCTATAAGCAAGTACACAACGGTGATCATGAAGAATAGCCTGTTTACCTTGATACACTCTGAAACGGACAAGACTCTATCTACTGTAACCAATGACGGAAAGCCTCAGCAGCTGACTGTTGGCAAGAGTAGCACCGAGCCTGCCAAATGGAGATTAAAAGACCTAAAAGAGGATTATGTGTTTAGTGGATCAGAGGTGACAATTGCTTATGACCAGACGTCTCTTTGTTTGTCCATTCAAGGAAATTGTGCACAATTAAAGTCCGAACAGGATGCCCAGGATGGTTGCCGTTGGAGAGTACGTATGCTTCAGATAAACCTGAATGATGGCCCCGCCTTTTTTGAAGATCTAATCAAAAGTCAATCTTGCTTGCATCAAGGTGACTACTTTATGCTACAAAACGGTGGTATCAGCTTGGGTACAACGCAGCTTGCTCAGGCAAGCCAACAAGAAGAATCAGCATTAGAGAAGAGTGATTGTGAAAGTTTCAATACAGCAAGCGAACAACCTGTCTGTATCGAGAGACCCAAGTATAGACGCATGAAATGTATATGGCAAATCAAGCTTGAAAACTGCAAGAAATCTCCTAAAGATAAGGAAAAGGAGCGATTTGGTGCGCTCAATCGGCTCTTGTTGAAATGTGAACATGAAAAGGATGCATGGAAAGCCCCCTTTCCTCGTATATCCCTGGTTTTGAATAAGACTCAAACGATGGAATCATGGAACACCTCATCCAGTGATGGTCAATTTTCGTTTGAAACACCAATTCAGTATAGCACAGATATCACAGTACCATATGCTGGAAAGCCTCTTGATGATGAACACCCTTCCGATTCACCCTCCACTCAAGACGCACCGGTTCATCCAATGAACACACCAGGAGGGAGTCAACCAAAGGATAAAAAGTGGCGTATCAGCAAGGGTAAGGGACTAGATGTCAATGTGCATAGAGAGACGGACTTGAATGAAATGCAGCACCTCATTGTTTGTTCTAAACCCGATGGTACAGCGGAGGACGATGCAGCACAAGCAAAACCCTGTTTTGAATACGTCTCACTAGCAGAGCGCTTCAGGTGGGATATTGTAAAGAGTCTATGTCGAGCAGACGAAGTCGAAAGGTGCTTGAATGAACCCCCAATTAAACCATCAAAAACGAAGAAGCGAGTGCTCTTGAAGGCTGCTGGACAGCCTGTTCGCTGGATGAAAAAAAAGCTGTCGAAAAAACAAAAGGTAGAAGAAAAACCAAAGGATTCGACTAAAGTATCCGTGAAAAAGCTCTTGAAGAAATGTTGGTCTTTAAGAAAAACTATGAGTATCATCTAATAAACTTTATCTCTCTTTGTTCCTATATTTTTTCTTTTTCAATGAATCATTACTAGGTGAATAATATAATTTATTATTATTATTATTATTATTAGAGTATTAGAATAAGATGTAGTATTAGTAGTATAGCAATAATAGTAAATAATAGCAGTAAAAATAACAGTAAATAATAGCAATATCAATAAAGTAACAATAATGGTAACTGTACAACATGTCCATTCTGTCAGCGGTGTAACCAGATGTGATCATTTGAGAAATATGGTTCTACAGGTGAATACGAATTCACACTGGCTGCGCTTGTCGATGGCGATTTCTTCTTATGTAAATATGTAATGATGCTCGGTGGAGTAGAAGGTAAGGAATCGAAAGAGGTTACTGAAGAAGAGCAAGACAAGGTGTCATCCATAGTATGACTGGTTGTAGACTGAATAGAAATAGGTCGAGCATCGTGAACGATCAGTTGTTCAAGACGAGCATTTCTAATCCAATATCGACGTCGTGTAAACAGGCTGAGACTCGATTTTGAAGCCCATGATTTCCAATCCCAAGAACCATACTCCCATCCATCTTTGTCTACATTTCGATTCAAGTCGATCTCCCAGTCTTGAGAGGCCCACTGCCAAGCGAATCGGGTGCCTTTTCTGATAACTGGAGGGGGTAATTTAAATGAGTGAATCGAAGGCGTCTTTTGCAGATATTCATCTGACCTACAGTGGAATTTAATATAAAGCTCACATGTTTAAGTTTTTTTTTTTTTTTAGTTACCATTCAGGTCGTTCATTGGGTAATAGTAAAGTAGTCCAGTTACCTAACCATGATCGTTGATGTTCAATAATGACAAAGCGATACATTCTATCCAAATGACGAGTTGGATGAAGGATAGGCACTGATTTCATAGATTGAGGTGAAGAATGGGATATGCGATATGCATCTCGAATGATATGAACTAGTGTATGATTTGATATAAGAAAGGAAAGACCCATTAACCAGATGATGTGCTGTAAGTCGACAAGGTAAACAATGAACATCCAAAATAAGCAAAGAAAAGTGAATTGAAAGATGCTTAACCGAGTAAACCAATGAAAAGGTGACAGTATGATATCTATTTCTTTTCTTATGCTCGACGTGATTATATCTTGCTTATTGTCATCGTGCTGAATGAAACGATAGAGAATGAATAACCAAATGGGTGTTGTGTAGAGTATAAATAATGTATGAAAGCAAACAAGTGTCCATATGGATAATAAAACATAAGCATGAGACCTATATCCTTTTTTCCATTGAATGGCCCATAGTGCCTTTATTAGATAATGATCGATTTTACTCCTTGGTTCATTATCCATTACATGTAATAGAAAGAAAAAAAGAACCAAAAATTGGTCTTTACTGAATTTTAAGAGACGAAAATCTGAATTTAAAAAAGGTTAATTTAAATTCAGACAGCAAAATAAAGAGGGAACCATTCCTCGAACTTATCAGACGTAGTAAAGATGATGGTCTGAGCACTTTCCTCGTAATCTAGAACAGTAGGACGGACAAAATCAGCAGCAATAGAAATGGAGGTGCTTTTAAAATTGGTAGACATTTCAGTAGATGATGTAAATTTAATAATTATATGAGCTGCTATGGATAAAGGGCCATAAAATATAAAGTATTTTACGTGGCTGTTTCTTTACAGGGCGATTTAATCTTTTCGAAAATAAGGAGCTTCTGTGTCTTTATCCATTGCGCATATGCTATGTTTATAAGGGAAATGGATCATCCAGGGCTTCTTTATACAATCGATAGGGATAACAGTCACTCCACTGCTTATAAAATACTTAAACAGTGGAATGAAGTGGGGCTCGTGTACTTTGCAACAGAACCATTCTCTTCCTGCATAAATAGAATAAAGCTGTTTGGTATTCTCAGGTCTGTATGTCGTATCCTACGTTGAATAAGGGTCAATAAGCAGTGTTCACATATCAATAACAAAAGTTCAGTAACATAGACTGACCAATCATAATAATAATTACAATTCTATATAATATGTGTAACTATCAGTTTTAACACTCTTATCTTTATTCTAAAAAATAAAAAGAAACATAAAGAGTCCCATTGTACTTATTGTCCATCATCATTACTACAACCACAACAAATACCACACTATATGCTTTATCAACACTAAATTACTACACATAAAGAAACTAGAATTTTTTATCAAGATCCATGTCATCAGTAGCCTCTTTAAAGTAATTTTCACTCACTTGGGCTAAACTGGCTAACAACACATGTTAGAGACTTGAGGATTTCATCTAATCCATATTTTAGTCATAAAGAACATTACACAAACAATAATAATAAACAGATCTTCTACAAGAGAGCAGCTACTTTCCCAAGCCAAACAATTTGGTTGTAAAAGTAGTCCTATACAAAAATCCTTGTAGTTATCTGATGTTATTAAAAAACTGGAAAAATAACTTATCGTCTTCTTCTCTGTCGACAATAATGAAAAAAGTACTGGTCTTTTAAACAAAAAGAATCTCCCAATCGATTAAAAAGATCCTGTAACTGAATCATCATTCATTTTTTTTTACTTGGCCCATGATAATTTTATTAAGGGAGGGTATTAATAGAGTTATGCACACATTATATAAAATATACAAAATATAAAGTTAACAGCAACCTCCACCTTGCTTTTGTTCTTCAGTTGGTTGACTGACATTAATGGTTTGTCCAGCAGTAGGCCTAATAACATCATTAGAAGATTCTAGTGCCTTATTGGACACGATACGATAGATTTCTAACTCAATGTTAGCATATGCATACAAACATAATTATAGCGTTTACCTGTCAAAATCCTTTGGAAAGCAAGTTCTACATTACTAGAATCTAACGCAGAGGTTTCAATGAATGAAAGCCCATTATCAGCTATAATAAAGTTAGATTCGAATTCACACAAAAGATAAGACTAAATAGATATACCTGCAAACTGCTTGGCTTCTTCTGTAGGAACTGCACGTAAATGTCGCAGATCACTCTTGTTTCCGACCAACATGACGACAATATTCGAATCAGCATGGTCACGGAGTTCCTTTAACCAGCGCATCACATTTTCATAGGTAGCATATTTAGCGATATCATAGACAAGCAATGCACCGACAGCACCTCGGTAGTAACTATTTGGATGATTAGGTACATGTTATATAATAAAATGTTTATCACTTACGCACTAGTAATCGCACGGTATCTTTCTTGACCGGCTATCAAAAAAAAAAAAAAAAAAGATTGGAGATGTGAATATGGAGAGATAGCCTTTAATAGCCTTGTTTTACCTGTGTCCCAAATTTGAGCTTTTACAGTCTTGTTATCAACTTGAACAGAACGAGTGGCAAATTCGACACCAATAGTACTTTTTGATTCCAAATTAAATTCGTTACGGGTAAAACGACTTAAAAGGTTTGTTTTACCAACACCAGAGTCACCAATAAGGACGACTAAAGTGACAGGTTGAGTTTTTTATTTCCCTTATAAAAAGTTACAGTTTACCTTTGAAAAGATAGTCATATTCATCGTCTCTACTCATTTTTTTTAATTTAAAGTTTGATAGAAGAAGAAAAGAGAGAAACAGACAACTAGAAAATAAGGGCTTAGAATCTTAAAGTCGGTGATTGAAATATGCCCTTTCGCCTTTTCATTAATGACAGCATCCTGAGAAACCAAAGGTTACATGAAGAATAAGAAATCTGTCACATGGTGATTTTGGCACTACCAAACCTTATAAAGTACTACACGTTTACTTTTTCTTTTTTCTTTCCTTAATTTTGTTTACAATTCATCTAATACTCTTATTTCAACTTTTATTTGTAAATGTATCTAACAAACCTAATAACCGAAGCCTTAAAGGAGAAAAAAAGAGTGAGCGTAACGGCTTTATAATAATATTATCCCACCGATAATTTATCAAAAGGTAAACGCGCTATCAGCAATCAAATACCTCGAGAGTGCATTCGGAGGTACGACATAAGACTAACAAGCCCTCAGCCACCATTACAAGGGCGGGCTGCAGCCTTGAGTATGTACTACCTCGTACACTATTTCCAGAAAGTAATGTCGTTCCAAGATGTCGCATTTTGTATATTTTGTATTATAAATTTTGAACTATGCGACATTACTTGTAAAAAAAAAACTGTATATTGCCACGGTCATAACCCTTAGCTTTTCCTGTATCTCTTATTTGGTAGGGTTAAACTAGTCTTGCTATTCCATTTTTTAATAGATGGCTTTATGTATCATATTCAGGAACTTCCAACATCGCAGGGAGATTCAAGTATAAGCATTAAGAACAATGTTGATATACATCATCAAACATGGTTTTCTTAGACAGAAACAGAAGGGCTGTGCAGTGAAAACAGTGCCAAAGAGCGACTTTTTTGTAATTCATGGAGGATAGAACATATAACGAGCCATCGACAGGTCCCGGACAAACCAATACTAGAGGAAACAAATGCGCGTGTCGGAAGCACATTCTAAAAGAAAGATATGCTTTTTTTTTTCTTTTTGCGATATCGTTTTGGCAAAAGGTATATCATATACATCACATCAGTCCCACAACATTGACTCTTGCAATTATATTAATATAATCACTAGTTGTCGACAACATTTATTCTTCTTTTTAAAGGTCAATTTCTTCTCTGCCATGAATCTCTTTTTTCTCTGTTAATAAACAGATTACAAAGAGACTCATTAGATCTACTTGTACAACCGAAGATCCTAAGCAGCTTGATGGCTCAGAATGGCCGTTTGAGAAAATCTTACATTTAGCAGCAAAATTATCATCTGACAAGCAGGCGTCCAAAACATCAACTCATTTTGTAAGACTACTAATTGTATCATGTAAAGAGTTGGTTGCTTGGCAGCTTTGGACCTTGGTAACATCAATGCTTAAGGAATAACTTGCTCAATATACTACATTAGATTGCACAACATTCATAAATTCGCAGACTTGAATATTGACTGTATCGCCACCGAGCCTGATTCTTTTAACGCCATTTACTCCATCATCAGTATCATTAGTTGTCGTACTCAAGGTTTTAAGCTAAGTTATGTACCAGCTGCTATTGTTGTTTGATGCAAAAAATATGGGATTGTAAATTATGTCCTTTTACTAATGGTGATAATGCTTGTCAATCCATCAAGAATACTCTTGCTTTACTCAATAATAATTTCGATGTACAAAATAATCAACGAATCTATGGCAGAAAAATTAATTTAATGTTTCTTGATTGGAAGCATAAGATAGGGCTTTACCCCTCTGAGTGGAAAAAAAGAAACGTATCCGTAGTCACTCACTTTGGAAATAAATAAGCCGCACTTTGAAACTAGGACAATGGCGATCAAGGCGCTCAGGCTCCCCGATAGCGTCAAACACTTGGAAGAAGAACCTAGTGACAAGGCCTTGGCCTTAGGCAGAGAAGAGGTTGAAAGAATCTTTCAAGCCAGATACGAACAATCCATCCTCAGAAATGCAGTGGGACGACAACAACAATCAATTAACAACAATAACAGAGGATTTGGACGTCAATAGAGATACATCAGGGGCCGTGGAACCTTCCACAGGTTTTTTTTGGACGCAGCAAGGGCCAAATACACACGGAGGCCCAAAGCTCCAGTCAAACCCAATAATACCGCCATCAACGCCAGCGTCTTTCCCCACGACAACGGCGCATTACGCCATACCGAGCGATGGTATATTACCAGGGGGCCGTCTCCAACGTTTTTCAGAGTAATGGAAACGGACAATACTTCATTCATGGCCTGTGTCAGTAGTAACACAAGGATATCAACTTCAGTGGAACCACAAACCTCAACCATGGAAATATACTCCGATGAAGTTCACGGAAGAGGAACAAGTAGCAGTGGACGAAGCAGTGAAGAAATTTCTGAACTCAGGCATAATCGAGCTTTCCTCGTCTCAGTGCAAGAGCTACCTATCGAAATTCTTTACTGTGAAAGAGCCAAACAAACGCAGGCCAATATTGGATTGCACGAGCTTGAACAAGTACATCCAATGCAATCACTTCAAAATGGAAGGTGTACCAGCCTTACGAGAGTTGTTAGACAAG